GTGGAGTCGATCAAAGAGAAGGAATCTGCAGGTGGATGCTGATTGGTGCCTGAAGCGAGTTAGATAACTGCACACTGTAATGTACTGCACATATGTTTAACCAAACTGTTATCATTTCTAATTCGTGTGAAAAGTGTAGGGTTTTCTCAGATAAAGCATTATCTATGAACCCTGAAGAAGACTTTAATTTGAGTATCTTTTTCATTGTTCAGTGTTTAAAAACTCAATGGTGTTCTGAAAAGTAGATTTTCTTACCCAGGTATACGGAAATAACACTGTTTTACATTCTTGTGAAGGCAAATACACAAGTATGAATGCCTCTTTTATCAAAACATTTACATATTTGATAAATATAAACCAATTAAATTTTTCAATTTTTCAATTTGGGTTACCTGCAAAGCAGTGACGTGCGGTGAGGTTCATGGCTGGTGAGGCACTGACTCTTTCAGAGTCAGATTTACAAATATTATAGCCTATTTTGACCTTAATCGAAATATTCTGTTATTTTCAAAAGCTTTTTTAGTCTGATGCTATGATTAATTTTAAACAGACCGATCAACAAAAGGATACCCAAAATCTAAATATTGGATTGTTCTTTCTAAGTAAGATCCCATTTTCATTACAGTTGTGGTCTTACCTTGACTTGAATATAAGTCCATGCTATCCTTCTGGACAACAATCTCTATTACTGTTTTGTAAAAGTCCTGCTTATCTTCCTGTAGTTTCAAAAGTCTAGTTTCTTTGTTGTTTGCGGTAGAATTACAGTAGCAACAAGAACCTGTGGGCTCACGTGCGCCCCCTTCAGTGCGGCAGAGGTTATGGCTGCCTCTCCTGGTGATTTGCCGTTGTATGATGAGACCAACGAGCCTAAATATCATATATACGTGAAATAAGTTATTTAGAGACTATGGATGGCGAGGATAAATGTAATAAAGGGATCTACAAACATTACATTGGTGACCTACAGTGAGATGGGAACAGGCATGCGCTTAGGGCCCGCTTTCCAGCCAGTTTCTGTGGGGTGACACTTTCTGAATTGAGGCAGAGCTCATCTGTGCCTCACCTCACCCCACAGTAAATGGCTTGAGCGCGCTCACAAAATAAGTGGCCGCGCTAAATTAGTGCCCGCGCTCCAGCAAGTTACTGTGGGCTTACGAGAGGCAGTGCTCGTGCCTGCCTCACTTCTCATCGCTCCCGTAGCGGAGCTCGGCAAATTTGCTGATTTTGACTATAAAATGCGATTGGAATCATACATAAATCACATTTACACAAGATCAGTGGAGACATTTTATTATTATTATTATTTAGTTTTTCTTTAATTGTTTTTCCGTTACATTGGAGTATGACAGGGGAGGCTCTGCCTCCCCTGCCTCCACTGACTGCACGTCGCTGCTGCAAAGTAAACAAAGGTATATGTCATTTTGGATTAAAGCCCTCGGCCACTACAATATCGACTAAGTACATTATGATACAGTACATTGGGCACCAATCCAAGATGGCGGCATTGACCACAAACAAGATGGCGTAGCTAAAAATGCCAAAATGAAGGCTTCAAAACGGAAATCCACAAACCAATGGGGGACATCATGGTTGCTATCCACTTCTTATAGACAGTCTATGTTTGATTCATCAGTGTCTGCTTTTCAATGAAACACTAAAAGTGGCTTGAAGATGTGACAGGAGGGATTAAAACAATGCAACTCATTTGTCATTGTCGTGCTTCCTTCCATCCCGGAGATACTGTACTCTTATACAAAAGATGTCGGACAGCTCTCAGCTCGAGCACCGCGTTGTGAATTTACATTTGTTATGTATAAGGTGAGCCGAGTCCTGAGCATCAGACAGAGCTGAGGAAGAGTCACCTGTCTCCGCATCGAAACCCTCACTAACGCTACAGCTGAACCTCCTGGCTACTGAGCAGATAGCAGTACTGTGTGTGTGTGTGTGTGTGTGTGTGTGTGTGTGTGTGTGTGTGTGTGTGTGTGTGTGTGTGTGTGTGTGTGTGTGTGTGTGTGTGTGTGTGTGTGTGTGTGTGTGTGTGTGTGTGTGTGTGTGTGTGTGTGTGTGTGTGTGTGTGTGTGTGTGTGTGTGTGTGTGTGTTCTTATGTCTGTGTGCATGTGTCTCTGTGTATTCCATCGAGTGAATGTTATATGTTGGCATCACTATGTGTGTGTGCCACAGTGTGTGTGTTTCTCTGTCTGTCTCACAAAGCAGAACCATGGAACTAAATGCCTGCGCCTGTGTGTGTGTGTGTGTGTGTGTGTGTGTGTGTGTGTGTGTGTGTGTGTGTGTGTGTGTGTGTGTGTGTGTGTGTGTGTGTGTGTGTGTGTGTGTGTGTGTGTGTGTGTGTGTGTGTGTGTAAACAGCCACAGAGGGAATGAGTGGCTGTTGTTGACTTTGCTTCATAGCTTGTCAGAAACAACGAGAAGCAGAAATTCAAACCGCTCTCAAGTTCACTTCCCAACACCTCAACACTTCCAAAGGTGCTTTACACAAGTGGAGCTGTGCTACGGTGTGAATACCATATGCTCTATTAAAGAGGCCCTATTATTTGTGTGCATGTAAATGGTCTGCAAATGCTAAAATCCTTGTGTTCTCTCCAGAGGCAGTTTCTCTTCCACACTCTCAAATGCTACATGTCCTAAGGTCTCACATGGAAAATGGATCTTAATCTCAATGACACTGCTTTATTAAATCAAATCAATTAATCATAATTGATCTACTCTTTGGAAAACATCACTGTTAATCTGCAGCAACACAATGCAATAGTTAAGGAAAAAAGGAATTCCACAAAACAACAAATGTCCCATTATCAATGGAGGTAGAAGAAAGGTCAAAGACTACCAAAACGTAATTATGACAAAAAAAATCGACTGTACATTGAGATGACTGGAAACTTTGACCGCCAGGTGGCACAAAAGGGAAAGTCAGAAATACACCAAACTCATAAGCATTTATCCTCTGGAAACCATTGATATATGCACCGAATTTCATGGCAATCCATCAGAATTCTGTTCAGATATTGCAGTCTGGACCAAAGCAGAGTACCGACCAACCAGCAGACACTAAAATCACTTTCTGCGAGCATGGCTGAAAACAGGTTTGTCTCAGTCATGTTCACTTGAGCAGAGCTGAGTGGGAGAAATAAGGCTTGAATGCAACAATGCTAATGAACGCCCATAATGAGGTATTAATGCAAACTCTCATGTTTAATTATTCCAGAGCTTGCTCATTTGTTCCTTCACTCTTTGGCTTAATGAACTTGTAACTCCATCCCTCTGTTGTTTGGCTCAACTCGAACAAATTGATCGCAAAAAACACTTTGTTTTCATCGGCTTCCTCTGGGTAAAGATCTCACATATATCAGTAGCAGAGGTGGAAATAGTGGAGTACTAATACTTCGTTACTGTACTTAAGTATATTTTTCTGGTATCAGTACTTTACTCCACCACTTATTTTTCTGACCACTTTTTACTTTGACTTCTTACATTTTGAACACAAACACCTGTACTTTCTACTTCTTACATGTTGAACCCAAATACCTGTACTTTCTACTTCTTACATGTTGAACCCAAATACCTGTACTTTCTACTTCTTACATTTTGAACACAAATACCTGTACTTTCTACTTCTTACATGTTGAACCCAAATACCTGTACTTTCTACTTCTTACATGTTGAACACAAATACCTGTACTTTCTACTTCTTACATGTTGAACCCAAATACCTGTACTTTCTACTTCTTACATGTTGAACCCAAATACCTGTACTTTCTACTTCTTACATGTTGAACACAAATACCTGTACTTTCTACTTCTTACATGTTGAACTCAAATACCTGTACTTTCTACTTCTTACATGTTGAACACAAATACCTGTACTTTCTACTTCTTACATTTTGAACACAAATACCTGTACTTTCTACTTCTTACATGTTGAACTCAAATACCTGTACTTTCTACTTCTTACATGTTGAACACAAATACCTGTACTTTCTACTTCTTACATGTTGAACCCAAATACCTGTACTTTCTACTTCTTACATGTTGAACTCAAATACCTGTACTTTCTACTTCTTACATGTTGAACCCAAATACCTGTACTTTCTACTTCTTACATGTTGAACCCAAATACCTGTACTTTCTACTTCTTACATGTTGAACCCAAATACCTGTACTTTCTACTTCTTACATGTTGAACTCAAATACCTGTACTTTCTACTTCTTACATGTTGAACTCAAATACCTGTACTTTCTACTTCTTACATGTTGAACACAAATACCTGTACTTTCTACTTCTCACATGTTGAACCCAAATACCTGTACTTTCTACTTCTTACATTTTGAACACAAATACCTGTACTTTCTACTTCTTACATGTTGAACACAAATACCTGTACTTTCTACTTCTTACATGTTGAACACAAATACCTGTACTTTCTACTTCTTACATTTTGAACACAAATACCTGTACTTTCTACTTCTTACATTTTCCAAACAGGCTGGTTCCTTTAGTTTGAATGTGTGTTTGGTGGCGTGATCATTATTATTTAGAGTCATTGCGTGCCTATTGATTTGAACACGATCCGTGTATCCATCATTTCCTGGTCTTCTCTAAAGAAGAGGGACCAATGAAAACGTTGTCATGTTGCCGTTGTTCAGCATGGAAACATTCATTAGCTAACAATGACATTATTGTTCTATTAATATAAAGGGAGGTCAGGTACTCTTTAAAACAGCTGCTAGTTATGGGTACTTTTTACTGAAGTACATTTCAAAGCCCTCTTTACTTTTACTTGAGTAAAGAAGTTTAGTCAGTACTTCTACTTTCACCAGAGTATTTTTAAACACGAGTATCTGTACTTCTACTTGAGTAAAGGAGGTGTCTATTTTTGCCATCTCTGATCATTAGCAAGTATAACTAAATGTGGAGTAGAGCAATGTTTACTTTCTCCAGGTGAACAGAGGATATTAGAGTCTGTTAAAGCGTCTGAGTGTACCTGGTAGACGTGGTAGGCGTTTGCAGCGCGGCCCTGCAGGAACACAGAAGGGATCCAAACGTTGATGAGAGCCCGATGAGCCCTGAGTGAAACAAACAACAAACAGTCCTCACTTCTGTCATCATCATCATCATCATCATCATCATCATCATCATCATCATCATCATCATCATCATCATCATCATCATTATCATTATCACAGTAAACATCAAAAAGTGTGTGTGCTTGGACAGCGACAGCAAATCAAAGCTCACTCTGGTAAAACTCCTCAAAATCTAATGCAGTCATGATCAGAGGAGAACAGATGATGTGAGAAATCAAACAGTGTTTTGTTCACAGGTGAGAAAGAAGAACTTCTAGACACAATTATGCAGAGAGAACAGATGTTTTACATGGTTTGGAGGTAACGTTTGCAATATGCAAGAGACAAGGTTGGAGGAAGAGTGGGGAAAAGATAGAATGAGGGACAGGGGAGAAAATAAAAATGTTCTTACGTCTCAAAATCTGACAGGCTGGGGTCATCTGACGTCTGGCTTAAATCACCTGGAACCTGCAAAATAAAAAAGGTTGAAAACAAAAAGAGAGACAATCACACATGCTGTCTCGAGCCGGGGGAGGGGCCGGGAGAGGGGCTATACCATTATTCTTCTAATGGTATTTGCCTTTCTAGCTTTTATCTGTTCTTATGTATCTGCCTTTGTGTCTCATGTGTTTTAAGGGATTGTATTCATGTGTGTTTTATTGTTTTTATGTGTTTTAATTAGGGCTGTCAAGTTAACGCGTTAATTTTTTTTTAACGCCACTAATTATTTGAACGTGCGATTAACGCATGTGTATTTGTCCTCGGCCCGCCCCGTAGTTTCAGAGCCCAAAGGCTTGACGTTGTTGTTGTTGTTGTTAGTTGGATGGTGAGAGATTCTAGCGAGAGATATGGATACAAGAAAATGTGTTTTAAACAGCAAGCCAAGCACACAGCCGCTCCTGCCGCTCGCTTGCGGCAGACCACGCTTGAAAGTTTGCTGTGGAGACGTCTGGGGAGACGTCTGGACACGGCGTCTACGAGCAGCAAGCTTTCAACAGCGATAGCTAAATGG